TTTTTGAGACAGAGTCTCACTGTGTCACCAGTCTGGAGTGCAGCGGTGTGATCTCAGCTCACTGCAACCTCCGACTCCCTGGTTCAAGCAATTCTCCTCCCTCAGCTTCCTGAGTAGCTGAGATTACAGGCACGTGCCACCACACCCAGCTAATTTTTGTAGTTTTAGTAGAGACGGGTTTCACTATGTAGGCCAGGCTGGTCTCGATCTCCTGGCCTCGAGATTCACCTGCCTTGGCCTCCCAAAGTTCTGGGATTACAGGTGTAAGCCACCACGCCCGGCCTCTTGGTTCTTTCATAAGTGGAAGGTTCATAATATTTCTTAAGCCTAACTCCCTCACTCATTGTGTTACCTGCCTTGAAGATGTTTGGGAATAAAGAGAAATAAATTTAGGCAGTGGATTTTCTAAAGAAAATCTTATTCAAAATTTTAAAGCTTTGGAAGGAGGAGAGCTGCTCTGTTAAGGGACAAGGCTCTCTGTGTTACAATGTTGTCAGGGGGCTGATATCTGAGTGACTTCTCTGGCTTTGTCCTGGGAGGGGTATCGATCAACTCAAAGATAATTATGTAGGATGGAGAATGCTGTGGGTTCTGCTAATGCGAAGTTTTCTTCCTGTTTCAATAAAGTTCATAAGTCTCCTCTTGTTTTATAACAGGGAAACTGGTGGGGCTATTTTCATTTTCAAAAGTCGTAGGAAGAAATATCACCCACATGGTCTGGGAAGAGGAGTGAGAAGATTTTTGTACAGAAACCTTTCAAATGGCCACCAACTGAAACAAGCTTCAAACTCTTTCTTCATTTTACTTAGGAGAGTGACAACTGCACCTACAGAAAGGACCCCAGCTGAGGTTTGGGGGTGGGGATGCTCTACAAACTTTGCACCCCCGGCCCATCAATCCATGTCCACTGGCCCCACCTGGGAGACTGCTGGGATGGGAAGGTGAACGCTGACCCTTTCTGAGACTTCTTGTGTTTTGGCGTGGAGGGAGGTCCAGGAGTGAAAATCATATCTATTCTGAAAGAAACAAACAGAGCGGGGATTAAATTACACAGAGCTTTGTTTTGACAGTAAACCAAATCATTCTATTCTCTCTGGAATGAGATATGGGTTTGGAATACATAAGAGAAGAGGAGAGGAGAGGAAGAGAGAGTGCATACTAGCCACAGAGAGAAAGAAAGAGTCAGAGAGAACCTATAACTTCGGTATATTCTTCTTCCGGTTTTTGATCTGGTGATACTGAAAGGATCTTTCTATCCCAGGGGAGAGGGAGGCAGACAAACCGCTGAGAGAGGTGAGGGCTGCATCTTGTTATATTTTTTTTTTATAAGAAATGTCATAGGTGGGCTGCAAACCTGTCTTGTCTTCCAGTTCTTTTATCCCTTCCAAAAACATCTAGTTAGGGAGTTTTACAGACAAAGCCTAGGCTACATATTCAGCTGCACACATCACTGCTGCTCTGTGGGCATCTCTGGCCAGTAGAAAGATAGATCCAACACCAGCTTCCACTTCTGCTTCTATTTCTGCATGAGGCACCAGCTCCTTTTTAAAAACCTTCTATTTTAGGTTTGGGGGTACAGGTAAAGGTTTGTTACATAGGTAAACATGTGTCATGGGGATTGTCTTTTCTGCTCCTCTCCCTCCTACCACCCTACCCCCTCAAGAAGACCCCAGAATCTGTTGTTTCCTTCTTTGTGTTCATAAGTTCTTATCATTTAGCTACCACCTATCAGTGAGAACATGCAGTATATGGTTTTCTGTTCCTGCATTAGTTTGCTAAGGATAATAGTCTCCAGCTCCAACCATGTTCCTGCAAAAGATAGGATTTTGTTCTTTTTTAATGGCTGCATAGTATTCTGAGAGTCATCGGTTCCTTCTCTATGCCTGGACCAATAGGAAAGAAATGTTGCCTATCACGCTGTCGGCTGGGACAAGGGCTGGAGGGAAAGCAGGCTTGAAGGCTTCTCACAGGTCCAGGACCATTAAGACCGTGAACCCTGAAATAGCCATGGCTCCTTCTGTCTCCTCCCTGGAAACCCAGCTGCTTCTCCACTGATGGCACTTCCTTTCTCTCTTGCCCCGTAAGGTCAGCACGACTGGAGATATGCAATCAGAGATCCAGATGTTCACCCTCCAGCCACAAACACTAGAAACACATTTGCTTAATAAGTAGCAAAAACTATGACACTGTCACAGTCCACTCTATGCTTATTTAAATTGACTGGTAGTTTTGGAGTGTGGCATGCCTTAGACATCACGCTTCATCCTTGTCTCTCAGAGAGCCATAGTTGCATAAATAACAGCATGTTAGGCTCAGAATTTGTTCACACATCTATTCATTCAGCAGGTAGTGAGCACTGACTCTGTGCCTGCCACTATGCTAGGAAGCCCAGCTTGGCCAGCACGGTGAAACCCCCTATCTACTAAAAATAAAAAATCAGGGGGTGTGGTGCCATGTGCCTCTAGTCCCAGCTACTCAGGAAGCTGAGTCAGGAGAATCTCTTGAACCCGGGAGACAGAGGTTGGAGTGAGCTGAGATCCGGCCACTGCACTCCAGCCTGGGTGACAGAGTGAGGCTCCATCTCAAAAAAAAAAAAAAAAAAAAAAAAAGGCCATGGAGAAGCACACCCCCAACGTGACAGCATCATTAACTTCCAACCCAGTCGGTGTGACGTTCCTGTTCTCTAGCAGGACACTCCAGTGGGACAACATCACTCGGACAGGGAAGCTGAGGCCCAGAGAGGATATGTGTCCATTGGAAATATCACACAGTCAGAGAGTGAACTGCAATAGGAGTTTGGTTTCCTGACTGTTATTCCATGACTCTTGACATCACAACTGCCCGTTTTTAAAAAATGTGCAGTTTTACAACTTATTAAAGATTTGATACATTTTAAAAGTAAAAAAAAAAAGTCACATATGGAGTCATCATCTCAGTACAGCTACTGCAATCTCTCAGGGGAAGTCCTACTCCTTTTCTCCAGGCCGCAATATGGGAAAGTGTGTGCATGTCCTGTGTATTTCTGAATAAGCATATGTGTGCATGTGTTTAGAATCATACCTATATATTAGTAAACATCATCACAAGGTCTAGGCAGAGTCTATTTATTCTGTGACATATTATATATGATATATAAACATACATATGCAGCTATAAATATATACATATGCATATGTATGTGTACGCACATGTCTGCATGTATTACTGGTAATTATATCATGCATATATATCCACAAATCAAATAATTAAAAAATCTCATTATATACTTTTTCTAAATATTATTTTATGGTTGCATAACTTTTTTTTTTTTTTGAGATGCAGTCTCACTCTGTCGCCCAGGCTGGAGTGCAGTGGCGCAATCTTGGCTCACTGCAACCTCCGCCTCCCAGGTTCAAGCGATTCTTCTGCCTCAGCCTCCCGAGTAGCTGAGATTACAGGCACGCTCCACCACGCCTGGATTCTTTTTGTATTTTTAGTAGAGAGGGGGTTTCCCCATGTTGGTCAGAATGGTCTGGAACTCTTGACTTCAACGGATTCACCTGCCTCGGCCTCCCAAAGTGCTGGGATTATAGGCATGAGCCACTGCACCCAACCAATGGCTGCATAACATTTTAATGAGAGCAGGTACCATTCTTTCCTTACCCATTGTTTTATAATTAAGGAAATATGGTGCGTTAGAATAGAGACTTTCTAATCAGTTGGAGCTAGTTTGATTCCCAGCTCTGCTCCCTGCTAGCTGGATAGGTCCTCTGTCCTATCAGCTTCAGTTTCCACATTGGAAAAATGGCAGTCTAATGCAATGCCTTGTGTTTTCATAAGGGAGTATAAACATGCAGGTGAAATACTGAGGAGTTCCATAAAAATGATGGCAATTATTAGTTGGGCATTGATGCTGTTTCCTTAGTTTTCACTATTATAAGTAATACCCGATGAACATTTTTTAACATGGTAAAGAATTATATTTAGAATTAGGCAGCCGAATTTGGTTTAAATGATCCCGTTTTGTTGGCAACACCGAAAACATCACAGTCAGAAGCCATTAAAACGTGTGTCTTCTCCTCTCTGACAGGCCTGATCAGGGTGCTGACCTTGGCCATGGGAATGTCATACAGCTTTTTCACAGTCTGTCCAATCTGGTGCTTTTTTGGCCTGGACATCCACAAGGCTTCGTGGATATTTTTCTCCTTAAAATCTCTCCCTGCATTTTGAATTATTTCTGAATACCTCTCACCTTAAACTCTAAGGGTCATATGGCTTTGAGGGGAGCGCAGTCCCTCCAGATGTGACTGTCTCACCTTGTCTGAAGGTACTTTATCCTGGAAAGCATGTCGAGATGCCCGGCAGAATACTGCTCAATCACATCCTTCACGTCGTAAGGCCTCAAAGTCTCCTTGAATTTTTTTTTATAGAGACGGAATTGTAGAATTCTGCAAGGCAAAGTAGAGGCATTTGTGCGTCATGGGTGGAGAGTGCAGGGAGCTATACCACAAGGCTAGCAAAATCCAAGGCAGGGGGAGAAAAGAACCAAAGAGAAAACAGCTTGCTGGAAGAACTTCCAATGTTTGGTTCTGATTCTACCCCTTGGAACACACAGAGTTAGTACATCTCCATCAGGATTATTCCCTTCAATCATTTGAAGAATAAGCAAATCATGGTATTAATAAGAGCTAACATTTATTGAGCATTCATTGTATGCCAGACCATGAGCTTAATGCTTTATGAACAATCCTGATAACAGATCCATTTATAGCAGATGTGATTGTGATTCAGAGCTTCAGCATCGTCCCAGGGCCATACAGCTGATGAGGGCTGAGCTGGTCCTCAAACCCAGATGGGGTGCTGACGAGGCTGGTGCTCTGAATCACTGTCACACTGCTTTCTATTTGAGCACAGCTGATGTATCTCATCCTCAAGAGCCTCTTGAATTATTTTGCTTGGGAGCTCCTAGAAAAGAAAAGCTGGTTTCTGTTCCCTGAGTTTTTTCAGGTTCCTTATAAAGTGGGGCGCCCAGAACTGGTAGATGAAATCAAAGCCTCACGTCCATCCTTTATTGGTTCCTCCCTGGAAAGCAATCAAGTCACCCCTGATGGGTAGTGTTCCTTGGGAGCCACATCGTGAAGTCAACTCCTGCTGATCACAGAGTTTATTCAAATCCCTAATCACAGGTCAGTGTCAGGAGGTCACAGCCGTTCCCAGGCCCTTCTATCCGGTGCTTGCGCAAGTCATTTTAACGGTGCATTCAAAGTTCATTTTGTTTGCCATAGCTCATGGCTTTAGCCTCTAAACATTATTTTTGGTATATTGATTATGGTACTACCTAATTTGCTTGCCATCCTTCCCATCTTTGTGCCATTTTATAAGCCTTCTCTTTACATCATTCCATACAGGTGAGAATCTATAAACTAAGGCTCACAGGTCAACTCTGGCTCACTGCCTGATTTTGATAGTAAGGTTTGACTGGAACTCAGCCACACCCACTCCTTTATGCACTGTCTATGGCTGCTTTTGTGCTACAATGACAGAGCTGAACACTCGTAGCAGAGACCTATGGACCATGAAGCCTAAAACATTTACTATCTGACCCTTTCCAGAAAAGTCTGATGACCTCTGAATGAAGGCATCAGTGAAAATGCTAAAAGAAGAGCAGAAGAGGGCACAGACCAGACTATGCAGTGTCCCAGCAGAGATCGCCCTCCAGGTCAACACAGGTTCATTAACTGGCTTTCTCTGAATAAAGGCTTTCAGCCAGTGAGGAATCCAGACAGCTGTGTTTTCATACAACCACATTTCTGTCATATCCTTCATAAAGGTGTCAGGAAAATCCACGTCCAAGGCTTTGCTGAGGTCTACACATTGTAACACGACTGTGCTTCCCTAGCTATTGGAATGAGAATCTGGCTGAAAAGACCATGATGAGTTGGAGAATTCACCTTAGTTTCTAGAATTCACTGCTACCTTTATGAGGTGCTTACATGCTGATAAAGTTTAAGTAGTAGCATGCGTTTTTCATTTTCTTGCAGAATTTTAAAGCAAAACAGAAATAGCCAGAATGGATCATGGTCTCTGCTGATACAGACAAAAAAACTATAATTTATTATCTTGTTAAAAATGCGAACTAATTAAAAAGAACTATATGGATGAAGTTAAGCAGAAGAAAAAACATTTTGAGCAAGAAGCCTCTACAGGAAGAAAACCCTCCACCCTGACGCCCTTTAAAATACATGGTGGTTACAGCCAGAGCAGAACAGAGGAGGTGGAAATACTGTCGGGAGGGCTGTGGGGCGTGTGTATAACAAGGCAGGCACCCAAGAGTCACCCAACATGATTCGCTCATGTCCGGATCATTTTTCCTGGTGCAGCATACAGTACTTACTTACTTCTGGGACCTGAGTCAGGGTTAGTGGAGGGGCTTATTTTCCCCCTTCCCAAAGTGCAAGAGAATTTTATAAGCCCCATCCTGTAGGAGTTGAGCTGGAGCTGGGGAGGCACACAGGCATCGGTGGGGCCGAGGGGGCATTACCTGACGGCTCGGATGGCGGCCTTCAGGGTAGGGATCATGTCTTCAATGGGGAAGTCATTCCCATAGCCCCTGTCTTCTGCTGTGGGGTCGCCTGTCCCGGCATCTGGGAGGAAGACACGCATATCAACGGCAGGCCACAGCCCTGGAAAAGGCTTGGGGACCCCATTGTTTGGTCAAAGCCTTCCACGCCTCTGGATGTGTCGATCCCCAGAGTCTTTGTTTCCACGTTGTGAGACCCCACGGTACTCTCAAGCTGTGATGCTGCTCAGCCTTTCTTGGCACCCTCATTCTATTATCCAGAAGTCCAAGTCAAAAGTGTGTGCAGCTCATGACTGGTGGTGGAGGACAAGGCTAGCAGGGAGGAGAAGTGAGCTCTGCAGTGCCAGAGTGGCCCCCAGAGCCAGAAGCCAGCGAGGGACACAGAAGCCGGCAAAGGACACACACTGTGCAGGCCTTGGAGCCAGACAGGCCTCAGCTGGGGCTTTTGCTCTGTCGGTTTCTATCCTGGTGACCTTGGGGAGGTCACTTTCTGAGCCACACACACCTCAGAGGTCTTGGAGAGAACTGAATGATGCAATGAGGACTGAGGGTCTGGGTGGGCTCAGACACTGAGGACACAGGCTTTTCTGCCTGTCCTCCCTTTGCATAAGTAAAAGAGGCACATGAGGCCATGGCTCCTACAGCCTCCAGAGGGCGCTTTTCTGCCACCTCTTCCCATGCCCTGGTCTCTAGATTGCTTGGCACATGGCACCACCCCATCCTTCAAGTTGACTTCCATAACAATTCAATCACGGGGCAGGATGGGTGGTGGACACCCTTAGAAACTAAGGAGACAGGTTTCCAGGCTCCTAACTTGGGAGCCTCCAGCCCTAGACTCCTGGGAATACAACACAATGCCTCCGCCCAAGGGACAGGAGGAGTAAGGGAAGCAAGAAGATGGCTTGGCGAGGGAAGGGAGAGAGTTACCTTGTGGACTCGAAGGTTCTTAAGTGGGGAGAGGGAGAGGTGAGGAAGGAAGTGGGCTTGGGGGAGGGAGAAGTGGAGGAGACAGGGAGGGACATAAAAAGGCATTCATTACCTTCAGAACTCTGCCAGAAAGCGTAGGCTTTCATACGGAAGGCCGTGCGGAAACGCTCTTTATTGTTTAAGCCAACAGGCTTTGGTTCTTTAGAAGGACTTTCTTCTATGGCATCTACATTCAGAGGGGTAAATAGCTTTCCTTTAGTATTGCTACCACGAGGATTAGAAAGGCGAACCCGATCCAAGAGACCCAGCTTTTGGCTACAAAATAAGCAAAAGTGAACAATTTTCCTCCTTCAGTGCAGGCTCTTACAATTTCCCATCCCTCCATAAAGACTCATACATGCTCCTCCAAGGAGGAATGGGGACCGTGCATTTCACAGTGCTGAATCTGACTCAGCAGCTTGGAATCGGACAGGGCGTGGTTCAGATCCTAGCTCCACAGCTTCCTAGCCTTATATCCTGGGCGAGTTTTGTTTTAACTTCTCTGAATGTCAATTTTCTCATATGCTTAAATGCTGCTTACATGAGATGCAGGCTATAAATTGCCAACTTATCCTAGTATGCTGCAGAGATTCGTCTTTCCCCATGCCCATTTCCTGTATCAATAACTTCCTGCCTCTCCTGTGTATCATCCCATGGTGCCCGGATAGTGATTTACACAGACAAATCCTTATCAAAGTGTTCCTCCTTGAAAAGAACCTGACAACACAAATGACATAAAGCAGCACTCTTAATTTGGTGTCCACAAACAGACCCTTATGGATAGAATTTGGCAGTCCATGAGTTTGGATGGGGAAAAATACATTTTTAATTTATAACTTCTAACTAAAATTTAGCATCTCTTTCCATTATGAATGTGGGCAACAAACTCTAGTAATATCCTAAATGCCTGTGACTGTCCACAACAAAAATCACAGATAATTTTATATCCTGTTATTTCAAAGTATTGTTTATGCTCATGATGGCTTCAAGATTATGGTGGTATTCAATCTGCCACCAGGTTCATCACAAAAATGCACATATATGACTACATCTCAAAATTTTAAAGATTTTGGTAATGCTGTATCCATATAATCAGCTTCTTTTGTAAGTGTATATTGTATTTTGTTTATAGATTCAAAATTATTCTGAGAAGGGGTCCATGGCCTTCACGATACTGCTAGAAGAGTTCCTGGTACAAAGAAAATGGTTAATAATGCCAATATAAAATTGCCCTGGTGCAAAAAGCCAGCTGCACCTTGACTTAAGCCCAAGTCCACCCTTCCCATCGGGCTGACCTGGGGTAGATCTATGACCTTTTTGAGCCTCAGTTAACTCATCTGTAAAGTAGGGATAAGTATTCTCTGCTTTATCTGGTTGCTATGAGATGATGTTTGTCCAAGATTTGGCATAGAGTGTGACACACGCGGGTGCTCTATACATGTTAATTTCTTCCATTTCTCGGCTTTTGCCCCCTTACCCTAGTGAGCACAAAGGATAAAGCCTTTCTTGTGGTACTTTCCAGAGAGCGCCACATTGCATGTTTTCGCCCAGTGGTATACTCAATGCAACAGCTTCTGCTCCCTTACCCCACACAGAGCTTGGCACACAGGAGGCACTCACTCGTGTACTTGTGAAATAAATGAGAGAGTGAATGAATATGGGTGATCCAATCAGTTCTGCATGGGTTTGTGATAATTTTGTGTTTTCTAAAGAGCATGTCTGGTTAGGATAGTCATATGCCCCTGCCAGAAGCTGCTGCTCCCTTTGAAGCTGGGTACAGTGTGGAGGTCATGGTGCTGTGGCTGCTGGAAGAGGAGTGAACACTCCTCCTGCCACACAGTCACCCTGTGCTTTCTGAACACCAGGTCCTCGTCTGTCACGGGGGCCTAACAACAGCTGCTTCATAGAGGGTTAGGGAGTATTACACGTGATAATTTATGTAACATTTCTTGCCTACAGTCCGGCATACAGAAGGCATTAAGAAATCTCTGAAAAAACAAACCAGTGAATGAATGAATGAGTATATGAATGAGCAGTGAGCAGTTGTTATTCCTGACTTCCTCTGGATCTGTTCTCTCTCACCCAGCACTGTTCCAGAAGTTTGATTGAGGAACTCCATTAATAACCAGCCCAGGATAAATTTAGAAAAACGCCAATGCTCAGCCAGCTCCATCTTCCTTGAACTGAAGTCAACATTTTTTGGAATTGCTTTCCTGGCTGCTACTAGATAAATGACTAATAGGACAGAGAATATATCAGAACTCGTGGGCTAAAAATAGTGAATGAAGCAGGAACTGAGCTGAACACACATTGAAGTCTTTCTGGCACTGCACTGTGTGGAGACAGTACATTTCCATGCCTGCCTGCTCCACTGAACTATGTAGTGCTAGCTAGGCAAAGACTCTGCCTGGCTATCTTTGAACACGGTACATTTCCCTGCTCAGAACATCCGAATATTCAGTACAGCAACTAAGATCATGGGCAAAACCAGCCTGGTGGAAGCATCCTGACAAACTGTGTCCCTAGGACACATCACTTATGCTTTCTGGTCTCCAACTTCCTCATGGGCAAAATGATGACCATAAGCCCATGCTTTTCATAGATGTTTAAGGGTTAAACGAGGTAATGCATGTTGAGTGCTCAGCCAACTGAGATTTAGGAAGCACTCAATAGATGCTAGTTGTCATTATTAACTCAGTAAGTAATCCTTTTCCCACAGAGGCAGTAGAAGGCTGACGATGTGTGTGAAAAGGATGGATACAATTCCCTGGGCCATAAATAAAGGTTTTGTTGTTGCTGCTGTTGTTGTTGTTTAAATGAACTGCAATGAGTTTGAGAGATTTATATATTATTTTACAGTACTTCTTAATGCTAGTCTAAAAAGTTCAACATTGTCATTGCACTCTACCTCTGTAGGAGACAAGTATATGGGGAGCTTAATTCCAGATAAACTAAGCAAGACAAAATTAATAGCAGCCACTTTTTCCTGAATTGAAGTTTCAGTATAATTGTTGAATATAAGGAAGATAATCAGAGGATTTTCTTGGTTCTCCCTGTGCTGGGATTTAGGATTTGCTTGTTAGGCATTTAAATGCTTCACTGCAACCTCAAACAGTCTGGATTGCTTTGGCCACGTTCACTTAAAACCCCATTGGTCACAGATGACAGTTCAGACGGTGTTAGGAATCCAGATGCATGGAACAAAGTCAGAAGTCTCGGCTCAGAATCACTCACAGCCATTGCATCTAAGAGGCTTATGGAATTCTTCCTCCAGCAAAGTGGATGATCAGCTTACTTCTTAATTGTGTTGCCTGAAATCCAAGACCCCAAAGGATAATCAAATGCAAGGCAAAGTTCACTGCTGAAACTCAAAACCCATCTCTGTTCTACACTGTATGGATTTCCAGTGCATAATTAAGGTGTTGTTCTAGGAGGGCACTGAAGATCTTGCAAGAAAAGCCTTCCTGAGCTGACATCAGATTTTCTTCAAAAGCTAGGGCTCTTGACATGTTAAGTGCAGGCAAACAACTTCCAAATACAAATTGTACAAACTGCAAATAGATGGACTGGGCATGGCAAAGTAAAATCAAGGTTGTTCTACCCTGGACAATGCGGCTCTTGTCCTGGGCTCCTCCTTCAGGTATCAGCACAGGGAACTTCAGCCATGTTCAACTCCGTGTAGTTTCTTCACATTCTGTGTTTTGCATGTGCTGTGAACTCGACCTGGGAAAACCTTCATCCCCTTTTTTCATCTAAATGACTCTTATTTTTATCTAAAACATGGTCCAAGCCTCAGCCCCACATCTGGACTTTCAGTGCAGTGGCTACTGGGATCCATTAGACATCCATTCTCTGTGCCCCTAGTCCACTTCAGGCTTTTCTCATCCATGGCACTCGGCCACTGCAGGGAAATATTTGACTTAATAGGGACTCCCCTACTACATCAGTGGTTCTCAACTGGGGGTGATTTTGATCCCCCTGCCAGGGCACATTTGGCCATGCCTGGAGACACTTGGTGATATAATAATGAGAAGTACTATTGCCATCTAGTGGTGAGAAGCCAGAGATGCTGTTAAACATCCTGCAATGCACAGGAAATTCCCAAAAAAGAATTATCTGTAGCAAATATCAATAGTGCTGAGGTTGAAAAACTGAAAGGTAAGCTTTTGGACCAGAAACTACCATGTTCAACTTGTATATACAGGATCTAGCACAGTGTCTGGCATGTTGCCAGCACTAAAAGTATTATTACAATGTTGAATGAATGAAGGAAGTAATAAAACATTCAATCTTCTGATTAACAAAATGCATCTAACCTCAGCTGAGAGAGGGACTGCTGTATAGTGGAAAGAGAGTGGACTTTAGAGTAAGAGAACTGAGTTCAAATCTCTGCTTGTGGTTTATATTTCACTTAGGAAAGTCATTAACTCAGATTCAATTTCATCTATAAAACGAAGCTAATATTTATTCATTCAACAAAAATGTGTTCCACACTTTGTAAATCCCAGGTTCAAGGTAACTTGTTGAACATACGTTGGTGATTAAAACCAATGTGGTTTTCAGTCTCTAGTGAGCTTATGATAAAGTCAAGAAGTCATATAATAAGTAAACAGACACATTCATTGCTAGAAATCTGACAAGGAGACCAAGAGAATGCAGTAATGAAGAGAAACGGGAGGTTGACAGGTAGGGTGGCTCGGGAAGGCATCTTGAGTGGATAGGAAGATGAATTAGGAAACCAATTTCAGGATTATTAATCAAGGATTAAGATGATGATGGTCCAGACACAGAAGCTGAGATCTGAAGGGTCAGAAGCTGGATTTCAAAGAAAGGAGGCAAGAACTCTCTAAGCAGAAGAACTGCATGTGGGTGCAAGGGGCATGAGGACTGGACTGTGGCACCAAAGGGAGGGCATGTGGCCAAAATATTCTAAGTGAGAGGCAGAGTGGCACCAGATGAGATCAGAGTTCAGATAAGTCAGAGACTTAAGAAACGAAATAAAATTTAAACAGAAATAGAAAATAGGAGTTTCCTTTGTGTTGTAAATGTACCTGGGGCCCACAAAGATGTTTGAGGATAAAGTATACGAAGTTTGCATTTTAAAAAACACATACCTGTTCATTGCAGCATTATTCACAACAGTCAAAAGGTGGAAGCAACCCAAATGTTGTCCATCAGTGGATAAGGAGATAAAAAAATTAATGGACATACAACGGGATGCCATTTGGTATTAAATGGAAAGAAATCCTGATACATGTTGCAACATGAATAAACTT